ACAAAGACATCAAGCACACTGAACTACTGCATCAGACCGAAGTCCGGAACTACTGCTAACTAAACGGGCCGACATTGTGGTCGTAGACCCATTCCTACTGGAAGGAAACTCACCTCGTAACGCTGGCTGCCGAGGTGCTAAATCTGAGACTGTCTGACTGCTGCTCCGAAACTCCCCAGCTACAAATCCCATAAACACTAAATCAAATACTGATAACTAATCTCAGGGTAAAATGACTATTTTACCCCTGGTCAAAGTCAACTTCCTGGTTGACTCTACTCGCCGAGTCCTACTATGAACTCGCCGAGTTCCCGGATTCACACTTCTCTAACTCGCGACTCAACTCGCCGAGTCGGGACGTGGACTCACCGAGTTCCTCTACTTCCAGATCCTTGTTCTAACTCACTGGGTCCTCTTCCACTCGCTGATTCAACTCACAATTCCAAAATCGGAGAAATCGGGAGGATTTGCGCTCCGACTCGCCTAGTCCAAGAACAACTCGTCGAGTCCTATGCATGTCCTTACTAAACAGTTGATTCTAATCGATTTCAGTGCTTCCAATTCATAGATCTGAGCTTCTAGGGCCGATATAACACGTAAAGTTGCCAACTTTACGTGCATGCATAGAGGTATGAAGCTAAAACACCAAAATAAGCTAGAAATGGGAACCTAGGGTTTGGAACAAGACCTTGCTTTGCATAAAGGTAGCTACTTTGAGCTCCTGGGGCTCAATGATGTCCAGATCTATAACTCATTACCCTAAGGGAGCTCCAATCTCGAGTTTGGCCCTTGAAATGTCCCAAAAGTGGCAAAACAAGCATATATGAAGATCTAATAGGAAAATGAACAAGGTAGAGGCTTTATTACCAGATGAAGTAGCAAATGGAAGCTAGCTTCTGGATCTCCTTCTTCTCCTTTGCACCTTCTCTCTTTCCTTCACTTCTACCCTTCCAAGAATACACCAAAACACTCAAAATCAAGAAGGAATCACTCAAGCTCACCAATGGAGGCTAGGGTTTTGAGGGGGAACGCTTTAAGAGTGCTGGAGGCTGGGATGGGGGCTATAAGGACGTTTAAATAGGGTACAAACCCTAAGGATTAGGGTTTCCTCCAGACTGGCCTACTCGTTGAGTCCAGGCGCGGACTCGCCAAATAGATCAGTTAAAACCCGCGTCCAACCTGGCATTTACTCGACGAGTTAGGGCTACTACTCGCCGAGTAGCTCTTTATAAAAGACATTTAATAAATTAAATACGTACCAGGAACGGGGCGTTACACATAGCGTTGGGTCAGGCCATCTAGTCAGTATGGTTATAATAACTCATATAAAAGATATTAACAATACGTTAGTGTATAATTAACTAAACATAAGTACATTTTCAAGGTACTAGTTTACAAGATACAATTTACAGTATTACATTATAGTTTACAATAACAGCTGATGAAACCATACACACTCTCAGTTACAAGTTTAAAAAAGGTATACAAATACAGAACATTAGTTTACAAACAGAACGATTTTATGTAACTAAAACTACTTTTCATATACAGCAGAAAATATAGGATTTCCTGGAACAGTTTACTTATTCAAGAAACAGATAACATTCATTCAAACATAAATACTTATGCACTCACTCAACTTTATGTTGATACTCTCTTTTCAAATTACTTGTATTTCAGGGAACCTGTAGACATGTACTCCCCGTGTTTTTGAGAAGATGGAGCTATTTATGACTTGTCTTCTTCTTTTGTATAACTATTTGCTTTCAGTATACAATGATGAAACACATGTAAATACTTATACTTTTTAAAATACAGTGGTTGTTTGTACTCTGATTACTATAATGCATGTGTTGTGATACTACAAATGAAGTCCTCCACCCCCGGACGTTTCCGCCGTCTAGTTTGGGGTTGTGACAGATGAAACCCAAGCTACTGCCGCAGAACTGGCTAAGTATAGGAAGCACTACAATGATGCAACCAAAGTGGCATGCATCATGGTGGCTACTATGACTCCTGAGCTCCAAAGGTTCTACGAGGATTACTGGCCATACGAGATGAACAAGGACTTGGTGGAAAAGTACCACCAACGAGCTCGTCAAGAAAAGTATGAGGTAGTAAAGTCCCTCATCACTAGCAAGATGAAAGATGGAAAGTACGTCAGTAGCCACGTACAAAGAATGCAACGATACGTGGAGTGCTTGCTAAAGCTAAATGTGAACTTTGATGAGGAATTGACTATTGATATAGTCTTGCACTCATTGCCCAATTGTTATGATCAGTTTATCCTAACTTATCATTTTAACAACCAAGAGACCACATTGGCTCAACTTCAGAACCTCTTGCGAACTGCTGAAGCAAAAATGAAGGGGAAAGGTTTTGCCTCCACTTATGCTGCTGCTCATGTCTTGGCCATTGGGCAAGGAAAAGGGAATAAGAGGAAGAGTCCTCCTAAACAGAATTGGAAGGGAAAGTCCCAAGCAGGGTCCTCAAGCAATGGACCCAAAGGAAAAGCCAGTTCTGACGCTCCTCCCACCTCTGTTCCTAAAGAGGCTACTTGCTTTTACTGCCATGAGAAAGGGCATTGGAAACGAAGCTTCCCTAAGTACTTGTAAGACATAAAGGATGGCAAGGTGAAGCCAACCTTGGCAGGTATTTACACTATCTTATCTAAAAACTCATCATATTCTCATTATTGGGTCCTTGATACACGATGTGGTTTTCACATTTGTTCTGATTTATAGGGGCTAAGAAAAAGTGAGGATGTGGAGCATGGGAGAATGAACTTGATCATAGACAATAGGAGATCGTCACCTGTTACCAAGATTAAGGTTTATAACTTAGTGCTTAGTAGTGGGTTTTGTTTAGATTCGAATAATCGTTGCTACTCGTCATAGATTACACGAAACATCATTTTATTTTATGCTTTATATAAACAAGGTTTTAGATATTTTTTCAATAATGAGAATGAATCTATTTATGCTTTTAAAAATGGTGTATTTCATTTTGAAGCTTTACCATGTGATGTCGTGTATGAAATTTTGATGGTTGTAGACAATTTAGATAATAATGTTTTACAAATAGATGGTTTCATAAATATAAAAACACTGTTACATAAACACTATTAAGGGAGTGGATTTTTTTTGTTTGACTATCAATTGAAAATGTAAAATCAAGAACAATTTTTTTTCCAACCTACTATCAGTTTATGGCCTTGAGCCATGATGAAATGTCGTCTGCGATTTTAATAACTATTTGGACCACTATTTAATTAGATGATTTTATAAACATAAAAAACATTGTTACATAAACACTATTAAGGCAGAGGGATTTTTTTGTTTGACTATCAATTGAAAATGTAAAGTTGAGAATAATTTTTTTCCAACCTTAAATACCATGCGTTCATGGCCTTGAACCATGATTAAATACTATGAGTTCATGGCCTTGAACCATGATGAAATTGTAGCCCAATGAGGATTGTCTGCGATTTTAATAACCATTTGGACAATTTCTTAATTTTTTGATTATTTTTTAACATATGATTAGAAAATTAGGATATTTTATTTTTTATTTTTTTTATATATATAATACGACATGTTACAATCTTTTACATGTAGATGTATATGGTTGATTTATTGTTTGAGTTGTTCATATTTAAGGGTGAGATAAGTCGGTTTGGGAGCAAATCCAAACCCAACACACTAGTTTTTGTTTTTGATTTTTATAACCCATTGGGTTCAGTATCTAAATTTGTTCGGTATTTCGGGTTCAACCCATAGGTTTATGGGATTTGGTTTTTAACCAATTTTTCAGTAAATGTAAACAAAGTAAATCAAATTTCTATTAAATCAATTAAATAGTTCAAGGAAATATTAAAATTACTAAGTTTAGAAATTTACAACCAAAATATGAAAACATCATCAAAATAAAACAGAAACAATATATTACAACAAAAACATGAAAACACCAATATTCAATCATTACTTACTGGGATAGGTTACATATTTTATTTTATTTTATTTTTTAAAGTATATATTAAATATTAAATAATCAAAAATATATATTACACGTCGGTTTATGGGTTTGATCGGTTCAATTTTAGTAGGTGGTTTTTTGAAAACCCAAAATTGAAACCGAGATTGTTTTGTCGGATTTTGAAATCTGAATTCAAAACCAATTGGTTTTGGTTATGTTTCTGTTTCATTAGTTTTTGTTAGTTTTTCAGTTTTCAGTTTTATGCGTCCCATAAAATAATGAATATAATAAAAGGACCTATAAGAAATGTATACAAATATAAATTTGTTATATTGAAATAAATATCAAACTATTTATTATATTCTTTGTAACTATATAATACAGCGATTATTAACAAAACTAGATAAATTTATAAAAATAATCAAAGCAGGTGAAAACTTTAAGCATATACATTTTTTGTTAATAAAAAACAACCATATACTTTACAATCTGCTTACTAGGAAATCAATTTATGATGTAAAACATTTTTTTAACTGATCCCATAAAAAAACTTTTATGATAAAAAGACATGTATTTCCATATGTATGTATATTTTCACAATTTGTTTCCATTTTTTTTTATAATAAATTGATTTTGATGTATATTCCTTACGGAGTTATAGATAGTTTGTAAAATGAGTTCAAAAAATAATTATGAGATTTTCTAACATGTATTAATTATATAAAATATTCTCTATTATTAATGCATTTAACATTTTTTCAATAAAAAATATTTTATAATTAGTAAATTTTTACATTTAATTATAATAATATTTCTTTTAATTAACGGTTCAATATATTGTGGTAATATTTCTTTTAATTAATGGTTCAATATATGCTGTTAGAGCATATCTTAGAAAAATCTCAATAATTATATACATAATAAAGCCTAATTATTAGAGATAATTATAGATAAGTATTTTTAAATAACAAAAACTAAAAAATAAGACTTGTATTATGGTTATTTGATTTTGGTTGGTTGGTCTAATGCTGGAGACAGCCTGTCAGCAACAAAGTTCCACTCTCTTTCTCTCTCTCTCTCTCTCTCTCTCTCTATGCCTGAGTCCCCTTCTTCCCTTACCTTACGTTCCCTCTATTCCCCCCTCTCTCTCTCCTCCTAGGTTTTTCGTTCTTTTCTTCTCTTTTCAATCTGGTTTTAGCTTAAGGAGATCCGGAATTTCTCGTTTCCTTGTAAGTTATTTCGTCATTGATCTGTTTTTCTCCTTCGAATTCATCTTCGTAGTTGTTATGTATATAATATTAATCCATGGTTATGAACTTCGGTTTTTGCTTTAGGTTCGCAAAGTAAAATCTCTCTACAATACTCTTAATTTTTCTCTAAATTCACGAGAAAATAGTTTTGTGTATTGTCCTTTGCTGGGTTTTTCCTTCAATTTCAGTTAATTTTGATTTTGACATCTATTTGATATATCTGGACTTATAATTATGATTACCGAGATTATATTCATGTTTAATTATGTTATGTATGCTTGATTTTACATGCATGACTTCGCTTTTATGAATGCCAATTTTTTTGGGGAAATTTGGTACAGAAGTTGAATTTCTTGAAGAAATTTACACTTCTCCTTTTGTGATGAGAGTTTGTTGGATGTGTGGAAGGAACTTCACAATAACGAAGATAAATTCTAAATACTCCTTGTGGTCAATGTATTTTGACCATTTTACATTTTGCTTCAAATTAGATGAACTGCACATGATACTGTGTAGATGCTCGGGGTTCCTTAAATTGCATCCTTAATAAGCGCTAGAATGCAAATTTTCACTGTTCTTGACATCTCTGGAAATCTCATTCTTTAAGATCTATAGAATAGCAATTCAGGTTAACCAATAGGATTAACCCCCCAAATCTGCTGTAAGTTGTATAACTGAAACATATAAAGGAAGTAAGGTGATACTGCTTGCTTAACACATATAGAACAACACATCTCTTCAAATACCTCCCTTCTTGACAAGTGAGTGATGTCCTTTACATTTTTGCATGTCTTTATTGTTGTATTACTATTATCGACATCATAAAAAGCTAATTCTTGACTTGTTGTACCATATGCATACATTAGTACAAAAACTACACAATAACCCTGAATTTTTACCAGATAAATCTGTTTTTTTTCCCTTTCTGAAACTTGTAGTACTTGTGTGTCTTCACTCACTGATAACATATTTATTTATTTTTCTGGTGTAGGTGGTTTAGTTGACTAGCTACTGGGAAACATAATAAGTAACATAGTCACTTCAACTCTGGGATTTTACCTTATTACCCTACACAGAGCTGTGAATTATAAATTCTTACATGTAACAGGAAATTTTGAAGTCCATGCTGTCAGAGAGCATGCGTGGAATCTATTTTTTGGGTAATGCCCCTGACGAGCGTAGTTGCTGATGCACTCGGCGTAGTCACAATCTCTCTTGTCACACTTTTGGGTCTCATCGGTTTGCTTTGCATCTTATACTCCTTTTACTTTCGCGACCACATTCGTACCCAAACCCATACCCAACTCGGATACTTCAGTGGCCCGTGGATTATCCGTATTATTTTCATCTTCTTCTCAATCTTTTGGGGCTTCAGTGAAATCCTACGTCTCGAATTCTTGAGACGCGAAGGTCGGGTCCTACACACTCTCAATTCAAAATGGCAGGAAAGGGTTTGCAAATACTACATCGTATCAAACCTAGGATTCTCAGAACCGTGTCTTTTTTTAACTCTTCTTTTTCTTCTTCGTGCCTCGTTACAGAACACGAGTTCTGGCCCGTTGAGCCGGAAGTGGAACATCAAAACGACGGTTTACGTTCTCCTAGGTTTCCTACCGTTGTTTGCGCTTCAAATGACGGTTGTTTTCATCGGACCTCGATACGAAACGGATTTGCATTTGAACGAGAAAGGTTACTTTTTTAAAACGACGGCTGGGCCTGAGTACGAGAATGACGTGGCGCGCTGCTATTACCCGTTACTGAGTACCATCTTTCTTGGTCTTTTTGCCACCGTGTTGACTGTTTATTTGTTCTGGCTCGGGAGGCGGATACTAATTTTGGTCATCAATAAGGGGTTGCAGAGAAGAGTGTACACATTGATATTTTTGGTTTCTAGTTTTTTTCCATTACGGGTTTTGTTACTCGGTTTATCTGTTTTGTTCAAGCCAGGGGACGCGGTGTTTGAAGTTCTTGCATTTTTGGCTTTTCTTTCTCTTTTATGTTGTTCTGGGGTTGGGATTTGTGTTCTTGTTTACTTCCCGATTGCAGACTCTTTGGCTTTGAAGAATCTGCAAGATATCAGGGAACATGATACTCGGTCATTACTTGCTAACCATGGCCCACCTGATGATTTTACTACGGGGTCCACAAAAAGGGGGTCCATCTCGTTTAGGGCTATTGAAAGGGAGGAAAATCTGGGAGGGTTTGTGGAGTTGAGTCTGTTTTCGCCTAGTCAGCATTTGACCCCGATGGGTTCACCTCAGGTTCATGGCTGGCCGATGCTTCCTTTGGGGTCGAGCTTGTGAACCGTGATGGTGGATCGATGTCTGTGAACTCATTTTTGTGGTAATTGAATGAATGTAAAGGTTTTAGGTTTAATAAGGATTTTGATGTTTTTTGGTTCTGTATTTTGTTTTGTTTTGGTGCCACCCGCCTTGTTTTTTTGGTGGAACTGATCTGTATCTCCTCGTTGTATTATACTTTTGGAAACCTGTACAATTTCGTTAATGTTTGTGATTCGAGTTAATGCAAATTTATTCCTTGTTGATCCGATAATCAATTTTCTATCATCTCTCAATACCATATTTTCTCTTAGTTACCTATGAAATGTACGTTTTGGGGTGGAATATTTCTAGAAAAAGATCAAGGGTTTAAATCTCAAAAGCTTATGAGAGTTTCAATTCCAATATGATATATAAGTTTATGGAAACCAAGCTTTCTATGCTAGCCACATGGCAAACCGTTGTTAACTTGATTCATGTCCCATATGATGCTCCGGAGCATTGTAATTGAGTGGAAGTTTCACTCTCTATGAAATGAGTTTTTCGTTTTTTTGTGTATTGCACTCTTAGAAAAGGGTCATAACACTTAAACCAACAGAAACCTGGACCCTTTATGAAATTGTAGATTTGTAGCCGCCTACGAGATAATCAGACATCTGATTTACATACTTGTCTGAAGATTGTTGGAAGAAAATTATCCTTGAAAATAATTAATTAACATTTATGTCGATATTCTTGGTTCTCTTTTTTGTTTGGTATGTGTAACTGTGAAGGAGTTACGTTAGTTGTGTGTGTCGGTAAGCGGTGTGTGTTTTCGAGTTTGAATTGAAATCCTTGGTCATGAGGTGTTGTCGTGAAAGATCCGGTATGTCACGTTCCCGGTGATCCACCACAAAATTGAATAAGACAGAATTTGTGTTTGTTTTGTGCAATAAGTATTGGCTGAGTAGACCAGACATGTAGGGTAATGCCAGGTAATAAATACTGGGGGAAGTTTTGAGACATAAAAGAACATGGTGCAGAACGCAACAGTTGACTTAAGTCCACCTAACATATATCTCATATTCTCATTCCAACGCATAACAATCATCACTACAATCATAATTCATAAATAATTAGTGAATCAAACAAACTATTATATTTGAAGTTTTATATAAGAAAATGTAATCACAGCTAGGGTTATGCGTTTACGTGTTTGTCATGCCCATTTGACATTTTAACATGTCAAATTATTATATATGATGTTATTCTTCGAGGTCGGACATTATTTCAAATACACCATATGTTAAGTTATACCTTGATGATTTTTATGTCCATGGATGTTGATCATATGTCTAATCTTAAGACGTTTTTGTAGATGCAACGATATAATACCTCTAAATAACAATAATATTACCGAATAACGTAGCATTTGATTACATAATTAAATATGTATTACCGAGTTTTTTTCCCCATAATTACTGAATAAATGCAATATGTCCGTAACAAGAATATGAAACTGAGGTTAATATGTAGTTTTTTTTATGAGTTTAACAAGTTAATTATGTTATCTTAAGACACCAATCATTTACCTACTTGTCCTTTTTATTCCCTCCAAACTCCTCACGAAATAAAATTGATGAACATTGTCAATTTTTTTGTTGACATGTAAGAGTAAATGGTCGTTTTTATTTGGTCTTGAAAGAATACAATATTTAATCATCATTATCCGTCCAAACATTTTACCCATACATAATTTAATGGGAAAAAAAGAAAAACCCCTAAGACTATTAAGATGACAACAAATATATCTAAGCGTAGACATTTGTTGTGTGCCTAATGATAGAGGTGCCCAAACCGGATTTTTATTTCGGTCATGTCCATTTTAGAATCGGGTTTGATTTTTCTCCGGCGCAAACCATTTGGTTTTGTCCAAAATCATATAGGGTTTTAAACCAGTACTTGGCAATAAATGTCGGAACCTATGTAACAGGACCAAAATCAGTTTTGAAATTTGGTTTGAAAAAAAGACATTTTCGAAGGACAAAATTGTTTTCATTTTGCAATTTAACAAAATTCACATGATTGATTAGAAATGAGCTAATAAGCCGATTTAACAAAACTCACAATATGGTTTTGGCCAAAATCGTATCGGTTATAACTTATACGGTACTTGGCACAAAATGTCCGAACATATGCAACATGACCAAAATCAATGTTGAAAGTTGGTTTGGAAAAAAGACATTTTCGAAGGACAAAATTGTTTTCGTTTTACAGTTTAACGAAATTCACATGATTGATATAAATGAGCCAATAAGTCTGTTTAACAAAATTCACAATTTGGTTTTGGTCAAAATCGTATCGGCTTTAAATGGTATTTGACACAAAATGCCTGAACCTACGTAATATGACCAAAATTAGTTTTGAAAGTTGGTTTGAAAAAAAAAGACATTTTCGAAGGACAAAATTGTTTTCGTTTTACAGTTTAACGAAATTCACATGATTAATCATTAATGAGCCAATAAGTCGGTTTAACAAAATTCACAATTTGGTTTTGGTCAAAATCGTATCGGCTTTAAATGGTACTTGACACAAAATGCCTGAACCTACGTAACATGACCAAAATCAATTATGAAAGTTGGTTTGGAAAAAAAATCACATTTTCGAAGGACAAAATTGTTATCATTTTACAGTTGAACGAAACTCTCATGATTGATAAAAAAAATGAGCCAATAAACAAACCACATCTCGTTTTACGATGACATAATGTGTATTTGGCCATTTACAATATTTTAAAGAGGATATGTAGGAACAAAAATAGAAGAATATTTAATTTTTCTAATTTAAGTGGTCGAAACGATATTTTTCTACTTTTAGCTGAAAGAAAAATAAATGAATTATCTTTGTAACTTTTAGTGGTCAAATATATATCTCCAAATCCTCGTATCAACAATAATTTGAAGAAGAGACGAATGAAAAATTATTTTTCTAATATATAAGAACCGGTGAACCGGTTGTTGGACGGATTGCAAAGCGATTTCACCAAATATAGTCACAACTGGCTCAGACAAAACCCGTCTTGGAAAATCGGTTTTCACAAAACCGGTTTTGGTTTGGTTTCCAGATTTTCCCTCAACCTGTTTGGAATTTGGATGCACACCTCTACCTAATTAGATACAAGAGACAAAATACTCGATCTTAACTCTTAATCCAAAGCATTTGGGCTTTTTTGGAGGATCTTAATTGCATCTGGGTCCATTCCTTAATCCCTATGTCAGGATTTCCTAATTCCACCTCTAATCATGTAAAATCATAAAATAAATAATAAAAGTTATTACTTTACATAAATAATAAGGTAAGAAGTATAGCATAAGTTCTAACATTCAATAACCTAATATCACAATTAACAATAAGGGAGGAGGGAGTCATTCCTTCCCAACCCACTGCCACAACTTTTTCTCTTTTATTTTTCTTCATCTTTCCGAACCCACAACACACGGAAACCCTGTCTTTTTGAACCCACTCAATTAAAAAAAAATACAAAACAATCAAATGTAAAATCTTAATTAGCAATAGAGTTATCGGCGGTACCACTCTCGCTTCAACGAGTGCGTTGATTGGTTTCACTAACCCACTTCATCATCTCTCTTTACTTTATCTTTCTTATTTTCTCTTGTACCATGTGTTTTAAAACTTGTACCTTAGTTGTTTTGTATTTTTTTTCAATTGAGTGGGTTGAATGGGTTCAAAAAGATAGGATTTACGTGTGTTGGGGTTGGGAAAGATGAAGAAAAAGAAGAGACAAAAATTGATGTGGCAGTGGGTTTGGTGGGTTGGGAGGGAACGACTCCCTTCTCCCTAACACAAACATTTCTAAATAACACTTCAAATAAATTTCATAGTAATACGCCCAGCATTACACAAAAGAAAAATTACATAGAACAAAAGAACTTGACTAAATACAAACTATTAAGTATGATAAAAATGGGTAATTACTAATCTAGCCAAATTAAGGGGGGTAATTATCAATTTTTAGGCAAAAATTAACAAATGGCCAAAAATAGCCCACGAAACCGTAGGTTTCGAGATTCGCCTACTGTTTCGCCATTTCGTCTACTGTTTCGCGTTTTGTATAAATTTTTTTTCATTTTTGACATTCAAAACCGTAGATTTTTTAAAACCTACGGTTTCCTCTCGAAACCTACGGTTTTCGCAAAAAAAGCTACGGTTTCCTTTTTTTTTTTATAAAAAAAATTATACCACAACAAAATACATCCAATTCCTATTCTATTGATACCATTTTAAAAAAAAAACGAAAAAAATAACTTCCGTACGGTTTCATATGAAACCTACGGTGTACAAGTCGACACTGCACAAACAATGCATTGGGCACTTGTACACCGTAGGTTTCATATGAAACCTACGGTTTTATATTTTTTTTTTCAAAATTTTTCAGAAAAAAATTTATCCCCATAAACAAAACCTATTCCTAATCACAAACAGCAAAATTTTTAAGAAAATTAGACAAACCTAATTGTTTTTCGGGTGCTCCATTGAGAGAAAAACGTAGCCTAACAAAAGAAAACAATAGGAAAATGACCTAATCTGAAATTTTTTTCATTATATACTTTGGGCTAATGGGCCACGAAAAAGTAAAACGGCCCCTTGAAACAGTAGCCCATTAGGGGAAAAGAGTAGTCAACGGGCGTTGACCGTAGTCATCCCCTGTTGACCGTAGTCAACCGAAAGTTGACTACTCTTTTGTGGGCTATTTTTGGCTAAATGAGTTTTTTTGACTATTTTTTGATAAGTAATTAGGAAAAATGACTAGTTTTGTATTTTCCCCATAAACAAAATACCTTAAACAAATTTTAAATCTAGCATAAAAACTAGCCGTTATGGCCAAGAAGGATTTTTTTTTTCTTTCTAAAAAGGACCGATTACTTTAAGTTTTAACCATTAAGACCAAGATTTTAGGCTTAAAACTTAAAAGAACCGGGCCCAAACGAGACACTTTAAAATACCAGGCCTTTTCAGTTTTCAGG